CAACTATTTCAACACTAAGACATGGTTTTTTATAACAATACTCAAGTGTCCAGATTTGTTATAGCAACATTTATCAGGTTTCTCTAATGTTCCACATAAGTTTCCGTCAAGGTAACTTGCCCAAACACGTTCCCATAGAGTCAATCGAGTGGTATAAAACTGTTTCTGTTTGATAACCAGATTAAAATCTTATTAAAACATTTTACAGTAGTACAAGTTAAAGAACTGAAAATCTTACAGATACCTTTAGCACAGAATACAAAGGTTTTATCTTAACATCTGCCAGCCTATCATATTTTAGTACTCAGCTTTGGATGGTCAACAGGGGATCATTCCAGAAACTGGTGATTTAGGGTTATGTTGATGGATCTCAGATGAAGATTGGTGCAACTTCTTAAACGAAAACAAAAAAACAACTTAATGTTAATGAAATCTGTATGGATTATACTTTGGTAGTACAAGACTGGGCATTATACTTCTTATTATATACTCTTCATTGCATTTTTAATTTGAGAATCATTTCGAAATACATCGTGCGTTTGCTTCTACTTAAACATTTCATCTTTGGGCTTTACTGTGCCGTTAGTTTCACAAAATATTGAAACTAATTTTTTTTTATACATATGATACCAATCCCTCTTTGTGAAGATAACGATACTATCGTGCCCTTTTTGTTTTTGTTGATGTTTTGCTGTCAATGCAGTAATCAATTGTCAAATCGATTGGAATATCGTCAAACAAGTTCTTCCATTATCTGACCTGAACCCACGTTTAGATTAATCGCTACACTTAGACCATCACATTCACAACCACATCTAGAACATTTCAAGCATGTTTCATTGCTCCATTGTTTTACTTTACATTTATAAGTTAACATCTTATTGGCTCTCACAGTCTCGGGTGTGGTCCGGCAACCTAAATTTCGAAAGTAGTGCCAAACATCTCTTTGTCTAGTCAAAACAACCCAAATCTTTTTAGGATAATTCCTTTTTTTCTTTTTTTTTAATATATAACTACATCAAGGTGCTGAGCTGGCTAGTGTAGCAGGTGTTAAAATTTTTAACTTCTTATGCTGTTTACACTGGCCAATCAGCATTTCTGTATTTAAACTTGTTTACAATATCCATTGTTGGTACTTTTTCTTTAACCTGCTTGAAGTAAGGTACTTATATTAACTAAGGCTTAAGCAGTTGGGAGCTAGTTTTTTGTTTTTTATGCTTCTTAGTTTAAGTGACATACATTTGTTTTTTTAAGGTTTCAGTATAGAGGTTGAATATAGTATATTATGAGGATTTTGGAGTTTTACTGTCCATGTTGCCACATTGATCATGCACTATCTGATGATTGTACATCCTGACAATAATCCTGGAACCTAGTTTCCATTGTGAAAGCCTCCCTCATAATGCTGTCATGTCCAGAGCACACTACTACTCCCAGACAGCTTATCATAACCCATTTAATGTACAAAGATGATGGTTTTCTATTTCAACAGTTTGATCACATAGAAATTCATTGGTGCTGCATTTGATTACTTGACCATTAATATTTTGTAAGGAATAATATGAATACTGCTTTCATTCTCCTGTTCTTTGAGGTATGCGATAGTTCAACAGGTGGAATAACCAAAAACTTTATACCTGTTGGCTTTGTTTCCAGGTGGAGATACTTCTTGGTTATGTCGTATACTGTTTTCTGGGCTACATGTATGCTTTTTTGCCACTGACCTTTGCGTTCATAGGTTCTCAACTGTTACAAGATGCTGCACTATTATGATTATCATAGCTGGGATACAAATTCTTTCAGGTCTCTTTTTGGATGGCCCTGGGTGCCTCAAGTTGATCCACATTCCTTTCTTTTTCCAATGCCATGAAGTACAAGAGACATTTCCATCTTAGAAATTCTAAGTTTCTAATTTGAACATATGTTTATGATTCGAGTGTATGAATATCTCACATTGCGAAGGGCTGTTACGTATTCTTCTCAAAAGTAATTAGCTTTTGGTGGTATCATACTACCTAAGAAATGTCAAAATGTAGTTGTGATAGATGACTTTATCAACTATTGTTGTCGAGACTTGCCGATTCGAATATTCAAGATAATTTTCTTTTTCTAAGTTTAAATTGTTTTTAATTTAAACCAACAAGTGTCAATTTTTTTTTTTACTTTGGTTTTTATTTATGATATTAGTCCTAACAGATATAAAATAAATATACATAAAAAGCTGTACATAATACATTTCTAGCGTATACCACCATATTTCATGCAAGATCCCACATTTTACAATCTGTCTGTCAACAAAAATCATTTCATCACTATCAAATTTATATATATACAAATAAAGTTGAGTTTCCCTCTCTACATGGATGCACATTCCCTGAACTGCATACATATGTATGAATGAATCATAACCAATCTTGGATCAAGAAAAGGCTTAAGTAGATATTTCAACTTTTGTTACACCTAAACAAAGTTATATTCTAAATAAATATATCTTAGTCCAATTGCTACAGTTCATAAACTTATGATGTCAATAATAGTTTTTTTCTCATCCTCTGTTTCAGTTCCAAAACTACAGTATAACATTTTCATTATATGGTACATGTTATTTCCTTTTGCTTTCTATACCTGATGTGACCATTTGTCCAATTTTTCATAGGATACATAATCTGGGAAACTGAAATATCCTAAAAAACGTTCCTATTAGAAAAACTGCAACAATTACATGCTAAACTAATACCTAACCGTAAAGTACTGCTATATAACTCTATATTATACTCTTAACTGGCTTTACAATATCATAGTGTTTAGAGAATCGAACTGACCGGTTTACGGAATGAACAACACGTACCGTTTCATTGTTTTTTACATAACTATACCTTTAACAATGAAAATTATTATGGAGTACTACAAATGAGTAGTTAATGCTCAAATATTAACCCTGAGAAACAAATACTTCACAAACAAACATCATTTATATTTGTATGTAACACAATTAGAAATGTCCTTTTTTGTAAGCAACAGTAATATAAATATTTATGTATACATATTTTGTGGCACTTGTGATGTACTTATACAAAAGAAAGAAATACAACATCGTAACAACTTATAGGTAACAATATCAAACAAGGAATGTTTTACTTCATTACATTTATATCCAACTTTCAAAAATGTAATACATTCAAGTATCTTGTTAAACCTAAAGGAAAATTAATTAATCAATAAAAGTTCTCTCCAAAACTTGATAATAAGTACCCGATACTGATGTATAATCTCATTTACATGTTGTTTAACTGAATATGGAATAAGGTGAATTAATGAATATCGTCACAGTTTGTATTGATGTAGTGAAAGGGGTGTAGAAGAGGAAAGAAGATTAAAATAATGAAAGTTAACTAATGAAAATACATCAACTGGCAATAATGTTGATTATTCATAATGATGCTCTGGGTGCCTTTCTTCACAAGAATCTACGGAAAGGCTTAGACCAAAAACATTCATCACATACCAAGTCTAAATGTTTCTCAATTTAGTATTATAGTTCTTGTTTATACTACTGTCGAAACTAGTTTTAAGACAAAACAAAACTGCCATACATTTTAACTTAACTCAGCTACTCAATATAATTGTAACACAGTAACTTAGAATCCTCAGTGACATAAGGCAGAAACTATTAAACAGTACTAACTACACATATTAATATATGTATTATTTAATACCAAAGTTAGGCCTAATGGACTTACTGGTAAGTTAATTGTTAAATCTTAGTGAAGTAAGTAAATTGTTAGTCCTGATTAGAAACTACTGATTTTAAAACTAAGCCATCACCTACACATGAGAGTATCAATAAAACTGAGGGAAAAAAAGAAGGCAAGTTGTAACTTATGCCTAATTATAAACAACTGACTTATCAGCTAGGCCTCCGAGGCATACGAGTTTCTCAGACAATAATCAAAAATTAAAAATGACTATTATTCAATTCTTCTAACACCAGCGTAATCATAGTAGAGTTATACAACTCTGATAAAACAAATACAATATTTTTATGTGTCAGAACTTCTGAGTGACAGTACAGAAGCATATTTAACAACATTCCAACCAAGCTATATCTACCACTTCCAGTGTTGACAAGGCCTTTGCCCAATGCCAGACTTAATCTGGTCAGTTGACACAATAATGGTTGAGACTATTTACTCTAGCAAACGGCTTGACAACAACTGTCAATGATGCAACAAGTTGACGAAGTACAATTTTTCATAAATTCCTTACTTATGTCACAACACATTAGAAATTGTTTATAGTTACACACATTCCTTTTTTTTTTACATGACTATTTGCCAATAATGTGTTCAATGTTTACTTTTAATCTTAAGTTTAGAAACAATGAAAAACCAACATAGTGTTTTGGTAACTACATGTTGATAATAATTTTTTCTGTGTATATATTGCAATAATTTGATAAACAATTACAATAAATAAAAACATCTTTAAAACCTAACCATACCGGAAAATAAAGTACAATTACAGAAACACACGGAAAACAACAGGATGCCTGATAGATGGTACATTAAGTCGCAAATACATTATAAGTTAAAAGGATTATATAATACAATACTTGTATGTATTACAAATGCATTTGCATACATGAAGTGAGAAGCTGTGGTTAGAGATTAATAGATGAGTTACACAGGATCTAATAGACTAGTGTTGGAGATTAAATGTGGATTTCACAGGATCTGAAAGGATGGTGTTGGATGTTAAAAGTAGATTAAACAACCTGAAATACTAGTTTTCGAAGCTAAAAAGGCTTAAATCAGATTGCGATATTTTAGCGTTATAGATTGCAGAGTGAAAATGGATTATACAAGAATTAAAGGCTGGTGAGTTAAGGAAAGCTAATGAATTAATGCATACATTTTTATGTTTTTATATACATTTCTTAACCAAAAACTATTAATTAGATTTAACTAAGATAGTTTCTAATTCACACAGTAATCCAACAGTTGCGATATTATCAACATTTATTTTTTGTTCATTTCTTTTTAAGAGATACCTGTTTGACAATGAAAGATGTATAGAGTTTTGAAAAAGCTATTTGTACTGAAATAAATCCCTACGTATTATTCCACAATGTTTTGTCTATAAAAGTGAGATATGGTCACGCATGCGACATTTTCTTCTTTTTTGTACTTTGAATGTTGTACATCATCATGTCTCACTTTTAGAGACGAAATACTGTATTGAAATAAATCTACTAGTATTATCTCACAAATAGCTGTTTCAGAACTTTATATATGTTAAGGCCTAATATGTTGTCTGGTTTTACAATTAAAAAGTCATTACTAATCATTTTCCTAATAAAACCATTTCACACATGTGTATACAGATACATTCACCAGTTCACATGAACCTGTGTATACAGATACATTCACCAGTTCACATGAACCTGTGTATACAAATACATTCACAAGTTCACATGAACTTGTGTATACAGATACAATCACCAGTTCACATGAACTTGTGTATACAGATACATTAACCAGTTCACATGAACCTGTGTATACAGGTACACTAACCAGTTCACATGAACCTGTATATACAGATACATTCACCAGTTCACATGAACTTGTGTATACAAATAAATTACCAGTTCACATGAACTTGTGTATACAAATACATTAACCAGTTCACATGAACCCGTGTATACAGATACATTCACCAGTTCACATGAACTTGTGTATACAAATAAATTACCAGTTCACATGAACTTGTGTATACAAATACAT